TCGGTCAGCAGCCCTCGCTGTATGAGGCCCTCTATTTCGTACCTCAGGTCTCGGCACTCTTCTGTTCGGTGCCCCGTTGCTCTGTGGAATTCACAATGCCTATGTGGATCGCGCATGTAGGGTTGGGATTTCAACGGGGCAGGCCAGTTGATCTTGTAACCCTTCTCGCGAAGGACATGGAACACATTCCTCATTGAGTCATTAAGGGGAGTGTAGGCGTTATGCGCGCGCCTGTCCGGCGATCGGCCGCGTTGCGCCTGCTCTGGTGGGGGAGGAGGGGCGCGCTTCGGGCCACTGTGCATCTGTAGCAAGTGGTCTCGTGGGATCGCGGCTGGAGGCTGACGACGCGCCTGTTCTTCTCGCGGCATTTTCGCCGGCTCAAAGCGCCTGACGGACCCTGCCCCCAAGGTTTCTTCCAACGTGATCGCCTTTTCGATCTTCATCTCCAACTCTGTCGATAGCGTGACGGGTCTCTTGGCCAACGCCCGCTTGAGCTCCATATTGTTGGTGGCCTCCATGAGGTGATGGGCGGCTGTTTCGGGGGTGAGGTCGCGGACGGCCATTGCTATCCTGGACCATCTGGCATAGAAAGTTCTCAGGTTTTCTCCATCCTTTTGCCTGATATCTATCAGGGCCTTGAGGTGAAGCGGGCGCCGTTTCTGGGACGCAAACTTCGTCGTGAACAGGAGTATGAACTCCTCGAATGAGTGGATGATTCCATTTGGGAGGCGGTTGTACCAGTCGAGGCATATGCCGGTGAATGTCGACGGGAAGGTTCTGCATAGCGCGGCGTTGGAGTTGGTCTGGAGTTGCATACGCAGGCAAAAAGTGCTTACATGGTCTTCCGGGTCGGTCGTGCCGTTGTATGTCGGGAGGGCGGGCGTCGCTCCTGTTAGGTTCTCCGCCATTATCTGCGCGCTCAGCGGCTGGTGAAGGACTCTTTTTGCCGGGTTGGGTCGGTACTGCGGAGACAGATGTTGCTCTAAGAAGCTGAGGTCTGCCCGCTCTGGTGGCTCGATCCCCGGCGCTTCGCACGCGGGGAGTTCCGTCGCCCCGTGTTGGGGTGGCTGGGCTGTCCCCGACGTTTCTCCCAAAGCCTGTTGTGGCGCTACCGCCAAGGTTCGTCGAGGCGCGTCCGCCACCGCACCGGTCGCTGCCGCGCTATCCCTGCTCATCATGAGCGCGATAACTTGGCTCATTTGTTTCTGCATGTCGGCTATGACGTTGTTTTGCTTTCTCACTAGATCCCTCATTTCTCTTGCCGTCAGTTCGGGCTCTTCTTCTTCAATGAGCACGGCGTTGAGGTTGCTGGCTTCCGCGACCATCCTCGGGTCAGTCATTGCCTTGACTGGTGTTGCTTGGTCAGGCTGGTCGTGGTTGTGCTCTGCCATCGGGGGATTTTCTTTAGCGTTTCTCCTTGGCCCCACGGTGGGCGCCAATTGTTTGAACCTAACTGAGTGTAGGAGTGAGGTTCGAATGAGAGTTTGGGTCAAGAAGAAACGCGAGCGTCAAGTTCGATCAGGGAGATAGGAATTAGAGAGTTGAGCGAGGACCGGAGTCCGAACTTTTAGAAAGAGAAGTAATAGCTATAGAGAGAGAATGGTGAAAAATGCGATCCCCTCACCCACCGTAGTAAATGCCGTATTTATAGGCTTCGTTGTGGTGGGTGAGTGGTTGACCCAAGTGGGGATACGAGATGTGACAATTGGGATACAATGATGTGACCACTGGCACATACTAAGGATTTTAGACCCTGTCCAGGCCATCCCCTACCTAGGACGTGTCAGAGACTTGCCACTGGCCTTGATGTGACCACTTCCTGGGGAGGAAAGCTACGCTTCCCTCCTCTCTTGGCTTTGCCTGCGCTACGCTCTTCCTCGGCGCCTGTAACTCACATCGCGCACAAACTCTTCGCGCCAGGACGTGGTTGACTACGATGAGGTGTCGCGCTCGGGGTCTTCGCGCTGCTATGTCGGAGTCCATCCAGTTGCGTCCGTTCCTTGACGTGGCCAGGCCCGAGTCACATGCCCAACAGTATCATTGCATGGCTTTTTCTATTCTCTTATTCAATGTGGGCAAACAAGAAAAACAAATATATTTGTTTTTAAAAAAATTTCTCAAAATACACACGTTATCAATTTTTTTTTTCAAAATACACATGTTTGAGCATCACTGACCGCAGTGAATGCATTCACCGCGGCAGACGAAAGCGGTGAATGCATCACCACGGTTGACGGTCGTGGTGAATGTCTAACCTAACACTGAAACTTCAAACCAACGTAACTTTGCGCTCTGTTATCCGATTGTAGCGAATTTTTTATTATTCCACATAACTTTTCAAGATCTTTCAATTTGAAACAAGCCTTCATCCCCCCAAAAATGTCGTTTGCTAACCCGAAAGAGCAATTTTTCGATTTTCAAAGACTTTTGGAAGACCATAACTTTGTGCTCACAATCCGAATGTCATGAAACTTTTTTTGATTTTACATAACTTTTGAATTAATACTTTGATTATAACCATAATTTTGGAATGTATATGGATTTGTGAAAAGTAAAGGTAAGTTATCCCAAAATCCCGTATACCCAAAAATAGTTCTTTTTTAAAAAATTCTTTCCTAGTAAAAGTTGTAGTTCTTAAAAAGTTATGTGCAATAAAAAAAAACTTTATGACGTTCGGATTGAGGAGATAAAAGTTATGGCCTTCCAAAGTTTGGAAAAATGTAAAAGTTGCTCGTTCGGGGTAACAAACGACATTTTTTTGGGATGAAGCCTTGATGCAGATTGAAAGATCTTGAAAAGTTCAGCGGAATAAAAAATATCGCTACAATCGGATAACCGAGCGCAAAATTACATTCGTTTGTAGTTTCAGTGTTAGGTGAGACATTCACCGCGGCCTTCAACCGCTGTGATGCATTCACCGCTTTCGTCTGCCACAGTGAATGCATTCACTACGGTTGACGGCTGCAGCGATGGCCAAACATGTGTATTTTGGGAATTATTTTTATAACGTGTGTAGTTTGAGAATTTCTTTTTAAAACATGTGTATTTTGGGATTTCATCCCTAAACAAGTACGGTTTTTCATTTTTGTTTCCTGGTGGACTTCTAGTTTCCCGTAAGGCTAACCACAACCCGAGGGGCAAAAATTGAGGGTTTTAAGCCTATTTTAGTATTTTAGCATCCTCGAAAACAGAAATAGTTGCAACCCTGATGGTTAAAATTTTATGTTTTGTATTTAGTAATCATTACTTTGAATAGTTAAATTCATTTTTTAATTTAAAATTTATATATTCATTCACGATAATTGAACACGAACATTTCGATAAAATTTGAACAAATTCTGAGATACTTTGTTTTGGTTGAAATGGAAGAAAGTTACACCAAAATGAACTTCATTTATAAAAATTACCAAGATTTTGAGCAATTCCGGAGATACTTTTTTTTAGTTGAAATGGAAGAAAGTTCCAAATTTTAAATATTGTTTTTTTGTTTTCAAATAGCAATCGAAAAGTTGGAAGTTACAACAAAAAGAATTTCGTTAGTTAAAGGCACTCACAACAACACAAGTATATTCAATTTAAGTACTAAAACAAAGAAAAGCTAAAATAATCTCTACCATTTTAGCTCCCACCATCTTAGCCCCTCTTATACCCCTCCCCCTCTCCAAAAAAGAGCTAAAATAGCCTCCTAAACCCCTTATAGTCATTTAGCCCCCAAATTTGTTCCATGGTTGAACATGATTTATTATGGCTATAAGGGCATTTTGCACTTTTAACTCTAGGTATGTGGATAGCCTAAGAATTTGTTTATATCGTTGAATTATGTATTTTGAGATTTATAATTGCCGAGTACATGTAATGATAGTTGCAGTTATTAACTATCAATTATCATGCGTTTTTCCAACAATTATAGATAGCATCATCAGATGACGAATCCTCATATTTGAGAGTCGTTGTTGGTTGTCGTCCTGCTGCACGAAATTGGGGTTTGGTGGCGGTGGAAGGATTATGTGAAGAAGAGATGAGAGTGAAGAGCTTATGAAAGTTATGAGCATCCAAGAAAAGGAAGGGGCTGCTCAGAGGTCTAGCGCGTTGGAGAATAGGAACACAATGGGAATTGTCGACAATATGTCTATGGAGTTTAGGATTCGCTGAGCTGCTAAGTGTGATGTGAAGAATGATAAAATCGATTGCTGTCAATATTCTCCTTATTATGAGTTTTCGTACAAATGATAGTGAGTTGGATCGAGCGTTTAACTCTTTCATCGACGAATTTGACTATGATTATTAATGGAGTTGGTGTCCTAATATCATTAAGTATGATCTACAAATATTCAATGTATGCACATTGCACAACTATTATCAACAAAATTATCACTACACACATCCAACAACTATCAAATGATATATGAAAAGTGATATAAGAAAGTAAACACAGTTTTACTTACATCATGCCTTATAAGAATGCTAAGTTTTTAACAAATTTCGTATTCTCAAAATTTTGGCTAACATTTTAGAATTTGTGAAAAGTTTAAAATGTGCATTCATGTAAGCAGCAGGTCGTTTTACTCGGGAAACACAGTTTGAGACCCAAACATTGTATCGAACGACCGATCAAGACAAGGGTCGGGCTTTCTGGAAAAGCTAATGGGTTAGGCCCATAAAATCCGAAAACTGCGCCCAATCGTGATGCTCAATGAGTTGGGCCAGTCACAAAAAGAGGCCCAATCCATATACAGAGAGGTTCGCTTCTTTGCCACGCGATGTTTAATCAACCACCGGCCACTCTTCTCTTCTCTTCTCTTCTCTTGGGGCTTATCTAGCACTTGCAAGGTCTCCGTCAACCACGTGTCGCCAGCAATGCTACGTGGCAGGAAGTGGGCGTTATCTAGAGCAGACATCTGTCGATCAGGACAAAGCTGCTGATCTGAAAACCTGCCCTTTTGTTAATATTGTCGGTTTCCTCGACATAAAAATCTGCTTCCTTCGTTGGAGAGTATGTAATGTAACTATTCATCTTCTTTCTCTTTCCACTTCAATATAAAGATGAACCAGGCGATCGTTAGGTCGTTTAGAAGCCATCATCAACTGCCCGCTGGTGTAGTAATATCTCCGACGTCGAACCAAGTAAGCAGGGAAGGTAGAGTTCCTTATTCAACAGGTTTTGTTAATTTGAGGAAGGGGAAGAAGACCTTTTGTACCAACCCAGACAGTAAGCACGACATGGACAAAGCTCAGGAGCCCAAGGACAAGAAAGGGTATGCCATATTTGAGTTACGATGTTTCGAATTTGTTATCTAGGTGCAAAAGTTTGTTCTTTACCCGCTACAAAGGTTGCCTGAAGCTAGCGAGCTGTATATGTGTATGGTTGTGCAGGGACGCGATGTCGCATTCGTTTGGAGAAGGGTATGCGACGAGGAGCGACGAGGAGGGATTTGGCGGGATCTATGGAGGGAACGACGACGACAATGTCAAGCTGGACAAGAAGATCCATGAAGATCACCCTGGTATTTATGGTTTAGTTAAGAGATGATATTGTTTTGGTCAATTGGACAGTTTTAGATAGTTGCCCCCTTCTTAATTTTGGGTTACGGGTGAATGGATGGTGTAGATTATGACAGGAGCCAGGGGAGTGAAGTGAAAGAGAAGGAGAAGGCGCGTAACCAAGCCACTGCCAACCATTGAGACCAGTTCAAAGACGGTGCGTGCAGAAGTTCTATTTCAATAAGAAGGGGACGCACGAGACCAAGTGGTCGTTGCGCCTCTGTAATATAAGTCTCTAGGCTCTAGCTTAGCTACTACGTACCCTTTCAATTTCATGTTCACTTTCGGGGTGTTCTTTCTGTGAGTTAGGCGTCCGATTAATCTATAGCGAATGAGGCTGTGGTTGTCAGTGATCATAATCAACTATTTGATTGTGATCAGGCAAACTGAAGAGCAACTATACAGGAAGAGTAAGGACTCGGAAGACTAGCTAGTAAAATAGGGAGTATGAAATCGTAATTTTCCTAATCAGTTTGTTTGGACTTGCAACAACCTTTTCCCCTCCTGGTAGTAAACCCAGCTCGGGTATGAAGGGGGGAAAACACTTCTCCTCTGTATCATTCTCGTTTTTCCAAGCAAGTAAAGCGGATCTAGATGAATAAATCTTTTCTTGAGTTCTTTTTTCCTTTCATGAATCGAGTGTTTAGACACGGTGTCAAAGGCTCAAAGCACAAGTAAGCTCGATTTTGTTCTTCTGCTTAATCTCTGTGCTCGAAAGCACAATTCTTAAAGATTCTCATCATCGGCCTTAGTCGCACGAGTCTCATGGTCATCACGCAATGCCAAATCTCTTTTTTGAACCGTCAGATCCATCCAGTTTTTAGTTTTAGGTCATCAATTCGTAGGGTGAGAACGAGAGTGTGAGAGCGCTCATTTGTGAAGATTTGAAGATTTCAACACTCAGAGTGTGATTGATGGAATTTTCTATAATAATAACTAAGAACTCGAATCAAATAAGAAGATTTCGAGTAGTAATCGCTTAAGATTTAAAATGGTCTAAGACTAATTAAAGAAGCAAAACTCTACTTTTCAAGTGAAAAAAGCGGGTGATAGACTGGTAGCTAAAAAAAATTGGAAAAATTGGATTTGTGTTATTACGAAAGGTTGGAGTCTATAATGAGTAACAAAGTTATTAGTGGTGTTCAAATGGTTATCGTGGTAATAATTAAACTAAGTAAATCTAAATTTCTTTAATTGTGAAATAAAATGTCTTGATCAAGTCGTTCAAATTCACACGAAAATCAATTTAATCAAACCAAAATTAAATTGATTTGGTTAAGCGGATAATTGGATTAAATAAATAACATATTACATGAAAGCATTATCCTGTAAATGAATAAAATATAACGGTATGCTGTTACTATCATTATATATAAGTATACTAATAAACTAACCATCCATGATTATTATAAGTATTCGAGTTAATACATCATTCATCATCTCTGCACCTAATATAGTAAGCTTACAACAAATTTCTTAACATAAATACATACCAATACCCCTCATCAAGAAGTTAAAGCTTTGCTACAAAACACTTAAACTATATATAGTTGAGGTGACTTTCATAATATTGAACGTAATCCTAAAGTCTAGTAGTTGTCCAAAATATTTTGGTTTATTAAATAGATAAGGCCCATTTAATTTTTTATCCATAATGTTTGGGTTTGTTGTGCACATGGAAATAATTAGGGAATCACGAAAGTTTGGTTTGGTTGGTTGCATAAAAATATAAATAATTTTGTATATTAGGTGTATCATTAATTGGTTAGAAGCATTGAAACCAAACTAAATAAGCTAAATTATTTAACCAAATCAAATCAATTATCCAAATTAATCAAACTAAATTAACCGAATACTACACATTAATATGGTTACCACTGTAACCAATCCGTTTGAACACCACTAAGAGTTATAGTCAAAGTGCAAGTGGGCTATTAAATCTTTAAAAGACTTCCTTTTCTGTGGGCCAATTATAAAAACGGGTCTTACTAAGTTTTTGGGCTAAGTCATTGGCCCATTAGTTTCTTTGCACTTCACTTATTAAAAACAGCTTTAGAAGTCAGATAAGTCCTTTTTAGGATCAAAGTTCCATTTCCCTTCATCTGTTATGTACTATGTCAAAACAAAAGAAAACCTAGAAATATAGATTGGAAATTGTAAAGGTTGCATGTACAATTGATTGAAATCGAAGAAGTAGAGGTGCGCATCATGCCAACAGGTTGGGGCAGAGGCCGCGACTCAGTCAGATTCGGTAACCCTAATTATTTATGTTCGGTCTCTAATACTTCAATGGGGAAGAAGGCGAGCAGGAGACTGAAGGAGGGCGGAGGCGTTTACCAGTACTAGATCTGGACCGTTGTTGGGTTGCAGTTGCGGATTCTGCGACGGCTCCCTCTCGCCCGTTCTTTCAATTCTCGGTCATGCTTTATGACCCTGTAGTTCGTGAACAGATTAAGGGCGGCGAATGGAGGAAGGGAGGCGGGCGCACAATGGCGCGATGGTGAAAGAGCTTCAGGGAGGCATTCTAACTCTCCCTCTCTCATGACAGTGACCTCGACAAAAACGACCAGATTCATCATCTCCACCGCCTCTCTCTCTCTCTCCAACTTAATCTCAAGGAGCCCTCTCTCCAGATCGATTAAATTCACGTTCTCCGTCACAGAATTCGCGCTCCCAATTATAAGAGTTCGCGAATTCTATGCGCTTCATTCCAAATCCGCCATTTAACGCTCTAAGGCGGGAGCGCGGGGGCTGAACAGACGAATTAGGTTATCTAAATCCAGCCTATTCTTCATTCATCCCTCATAAAATGGGCCAGCGTTTGGTGTCACTAAGTTCTCGATGAAGGAAATTATGCTACCTGGGAGCGTTCTATGACATTGGTGATTCGTACTAGCAGAATTCTAACTTCAAGTCCTTCGTCCAAACGACGACATATAAACAACCTTAATCGTAAGGGTTAATTTCACGGTTGGACACTGAAATTATGAAAAAACGTTCATATTTAGTCACTTCAAATATTTATTTCCATTCGTGATCACTATAATTAGTTAAACAGTCCAAGTTTTGTCACTCTCCGTAACCTTGTTTTAGTCTCCATTAACGCTGTCAATTTTTTGCTGACGTGGCTGACAAAAGTGCCTAATCAGCTAATTTTAAAGAGAAAAAAAAACAAGAATCCACTTACCATATCATTTTAATTAATCAAACATAAGTTACCTAATCCAACCCAACCCTTGACTAACCCTTCCTCTTCTTTCTCTAATTGACCCAACTGAAAAAAATCCCTACCTTCCAAATAAGATCTCCACGCCAGCCACTAGGACTGGGCATGCGGGTGGATCATCCGCGGGTTTGGGCCGACCCACCCGCATTTGACCCAAATTTCGTTAAGTGGGTGGGTCTGTGGGTGGGTGACGGGTTGCGCTGGGAGCCATCTGTCGGGTGGTGGGTGGGTTGTGGGTGAGTGTGCGGGTGACCCGCTCAACCCAACAGGAAAAAGATCAAAGTCGTTGGCACTAGAGAGAGGAGAGTGAAGACATTAGATATAAACTCGGACTGCTCCTGGAGTTTGAACCTCAAGGCCAACCTTCCAAATAGAGATCCCCTCTTCTTCCCTTTACTTTTTCCTCTAATTCTTGTGCCTAGATCACCGCTCTTTCCTTTGTGGAATTATTTTCCTTAGTTCCTTGCACCTAATAATCGTCTCAATCTGTAGAAATCTCTTTCATAATAGAATTTCTATCCTATTTAAGAACTAATTCGGCATTTTTCGCCCTATTTCAACTACTTGTTTCCCTCGATGATTCTCTTCACCTATTATCTTGTCAAGTTTACTCCTTTATATTATATACATTGTGATGTGGGTGAACCCACAAACCCACCCGCATCATCCACCATCCGCCCGACCCAACCCGAGACTAAATGTGGGTGGGTAGTGGGTTAAAAATTATCAATCCGTTTAAGCGCGGGTGGGTGCATTTTATGGTCAAAATCCACCCGACCCACCCAATGCCCACCCCAGCCACCTACCATTCAGCAGATTCCCAAATCTAAAATCATATCTCCACACGAACGCCACCTCTCCGACGCTGGCTTGTTCTTCTTCCCCACCTCGAGCGGCCTCTGTCCCACTAGACCCAATCCCTTTCTTCTCCACCTTCAGGTGTCGCTGACCGAAATCGACGGAAGGATTTACAACCCGCGAAGGTAGCAGGGGATGGTGGAGCGAGAGTTGCGTTTGTTGTTTCCTCTACCCTTGACCGTGTTGGAAAATTATATGGAACGGTTGAATAAATGAACCAAGCCACCGTTCCATTTAATTTGAATTAACCAACTTTAATCTTATTTCTCCACGTGATTGATTGATTTGGAATTAATCAAGCCACCGTTCCATTTAATTCCAATTAATGGTCTCTAATTGTTCACGTGGGAGTATGAATGAACAGAGGGATATATCCCTCCCTCTTATTCCTTAAAATAGGCGTCCCTCCATGAATGGTTGCCATGGATAAATGCAACCTTTAAATCAAAGGATGCATTGCTTGGAATGAAGCGGTACAAAGCTTCATGCTCTATAAATAGAGGGACTCGGTGGATGAAAAATGAGACACACCAAAACAGATTCTTTTTCCTACTAAACTTCTAAGCATGCTTTAGGTACTTAAGCCTGGAACCTAAAGTGGTGATAGTTTTATCCTACGAAGAAATTTCCTGTAACCCTAGGCTTGTAGAGGGTGGAAATATTCTTTACGGAAAGTGAACGTAGTTCATGACTCTATCATAATCCTAGTCACCCGGTCTCGGGCTATCGTACGTGTACCCTCGTGCCCAAAAGTCCCAACAATCGTAAAGAATATTTTCCGGTACGATGGCTCGAACCGCTCTTTACAAGAAACCGGTTCCGGTCTATGGAATTATGAGAATGTTCGATGATGGGTTTTTCATCGATGGCAGTAGAAGATGGGTTTTCTTCATACTTATCTCATGGTGTATTCCATATCCGGAAGGTAACTTGGAAGAGGGATGATTCGAAGATGAGGAAGAAGGAAAATGATTCGTAAAATGGAGAAATAGAAGAATGAAAATTGCCTTTGGGTAGGTCACATACTCAATGGTTAATTAGTCTAATTCTCTATTCGACATTTACGAAGTTCTAGATAAACTTGGATTTGTCTAGTAGTTTGGTGGTGTGATTTTGTCTAGTGGTTTATGTTATTTTAAACCAAGGAGACAAAAGTGTATATACAATGTTTGATGATTCTGGTAATAGAGTCGTGTTTGTATGTAGATAACATATTTATCTTTGGGACCAATCAAAGATAAGTGATTTTGTCTAGTAGTTTATGCTATTTTAAACCAAGGAGACAAAATGTGTACACAATTTATGATGATTCTGGTAATGAATTCATCGTACATTTGTCTGTACATGACATGCTTATCTTTGGGACCAATAAAAGATAAGTGAACTTTGATAAAAAAGTTGTTATTTCAATTCTCCATATAGGACATGGGGGAGACAAATGTGATTCTGTGTATTGAATCAAGCGGAACGACAAGAAAGAGTCATTCTCTCAATTTTTCTGCATGAGAAGGTACTTGCATAAATTCCATAGTAGGAATTG